CTTCTAAACTCCCCAACTGTGAGAAAACACATTTCTGTTGTTTAAGCCAATCAGTGTGTGGTACTTTCTTATAGCAGCTTTGGCAAACTAATACACACACCCTGCTCCCTCACACCTGGCCTGGACTAACACTGTGATCTGTGTTCTGTGCTGTTTCCCAGAGTCCCCCATGGGATTCAGCTCCAATTACCCACAGTGGCAACTTCCTTGATAACACAGTCTTTATTCACTTCCTTCTCTTCCCTTTTTCAGTTCCCATTTCACTACTAGGTCCACCTCCGAAATGAACTACTTGATCTCGAACTCTCAAACTCTTGAACTCCTGGTCTCCAGGCCTCCTTGAGGAACCCAGACAAGACTGTATCAGAAATGGTACTCAGATGTCAGGATGGCATTCTGGAATCAGACCCCTTCCCAGCCAGATGGTCACAAGATCTCACTGCTTACGGAAGTGGAGTGAGGGGTGATGACCACCGACCTGAAGCATCACAATTATTGGAGGCCTCATCTGTGGGGACTCAGGGCAGGATTCAGGGGGACAGTCTTATACAACATTCCTGACATTTGAGAGATGTGGGGTGAAATGTAGCTATAAGGACCATAGAGTGGGTTGGTTGTTGAAGGCTGTCAGTGTACCAAAGAGAATTACAAGCTCAGGCCACTAGGACTAACAAGAAAGCCAGAAAGCCTCTATGGTAACATGGACAGAAATGCATTTTATAGAAGTTACAAAGGAAACAGGAACACGAAATAATGTTACTCTAAACTAGCTTATCCTCATTTAGACCCCCCTGAGTCAGGTCCAGGGGGCATTCTGGAACACATGGTACATTCTGGAACAGGTGAGGGCAAATCCAGAAGGCCAGGACATCACACAAACGCAGACATCTCCACCAGCTTCCTCTGTGGCGCCCATGCTTCTCCTTCCAGCTCATACCTGCGGCCTCAGAGGAGGTGTCCTTCAACCCGGTGCGTGGAGAAGAGCAAAAACACTCATGCCTGGTTCACGAATAAATCATCTCTGTATGTTAACTGTTGTTCATCTCTCTGTGGGCTGCTGCCACACGACAGCCCCACCCAGGATGAAGAGAAGTGCTCCCCGTGGGCAGCGCATCAAGTAACCCAGCTGGTCATCACGCGGTGCGAAAGGAGAGGAGCCCCAGGTAAGCACAGACACAGACTGCTGGGCAATGGTGCACGACTTGACTGATGGATCAGGGAATGGGATCAGAAGACTGAAAACAAAAGAATGGGCAACAAAATGTGAAATCTGTGTGTCTTACACCAGCACGCACAGAAACTACTCATCAAAGGAGGTGCAGAGCAACCAGGTAGGTAGGATGACTCATCCAGGGACGTCCGGCCAGCCTCTGTCCTTGGCCATGCCAGTGCTCCCTCAGTGGACTCATGAGCAGAGTAGCTGTGGTAGCAGGGATGAAGACTTTTACACCAGGCCCACCTTAGTGGCTACTGCTAAATGTCTGACCAATTAGCCCCTGAAGCTGAAGGTGAGCCCTAATTATGTTATCATCCCCTCAAGGAGACCAACCAGCCACTTGGTGGAAATGTGATTCCATTGAACTCCTTCCACTCTAGAAGGAGCAGAGATTCACCTCTACTGGGACTGATTCCAAGGATAGATTCTCCTTTTCTACTGGCAGTGTCTTGGCCAACAATGCTATCCAAAGGCTCAAAGAGTATCTCACGTATCATTATGAAATTCCACATAACATCACCTTAGACCAGTGTTTGCCAAATTGCTTTTCATTACCCTTCATTAGACACTTTTTGCTAATTGCCACTCCCATGAAATTTTAATAGCACAGATATACTGTATCCCTGTATATGCACCATATGTGTATCTGTGCTTTAAACATAGGAAGACTAAAATTAGGGTGCCTGGGTGGCTCAGTTGGTTAAGCAACTGCCTTCGGCTCAGGTCATGATCCTGGAGTCCCGGGATCGAGTCCCGCGTCGGGCTCCCTGCTCAGCAGGGAGTCTGCCTCTCTCTCTGACCCTCCCCCCTCTCATGCTCTCTATCTCATTCTCTCTCTCAAATAAATAAATAA